TTTTTTTTTTTTTTTTTTTTTTTTTTTTTTTTTTTTTTTTTTAGATAGGGTAGTCTGGCTGCCAAGCCAGGCTGGCCAAGGGGCACAGGACAGGCTAGCCCAATGGCCACTCTGTCAGCTACTCTGCTGGCTAATGCTGTATTTATTTGTTTAATCAGATAAAGCTGTGTTTCATGGCAACAACCTTTGGCAGAGCTCTAATTTTTGTAGTAAATTTTGATCAAGATCTATTGAAGATGAGCCTAAAACACTTAAAAGTTTCTGTCAGAATATTGGAAATTACATTTTTTTTTTTTTACAACTACTATGCAAGCCTGGGGTGGAGCTCTTAAGATAAACACTGCCACCACTATGGTCTGTTTCAAGAGGTTCTGTGTTAAGTTCAGAAAAGTGTTGATTAAAGGCACCTGTACACATGTCACATCTTGGGATTCAAAAGTAGACAAATTTGGAGTAGTCTCAAATACAAGATTGAATTCTGTTCCTACTTCTGTATTATAAATCAGATAAGGATATGGCTTTCCAAAGAAATTTTCTTATATACTGAATCATGTAAGAATGTGAGTTCTACTGTTTAGTACTGGTGCATTAGTCTTGATAGTGCATGCTTCTCACAGAACTTTGCTCCAGAGTGTCCGGGAGACTTGTTGCTTCACAGATTGTAATCCCTTGCGTACTGTAGCTCTAACTTGCCTGTGTGAAGACTGTGCTGTTCAATAGAAAGATGCCATACAGTGGTCTGCTGCACTCTCTATGGATAAGCAGATTTGGGAAGTAAAACCGAATGAGCAGTGAGAGTTTGACGAGAGAAAAGAGATGGCACTGGTCAGTGAGGAAGGATCAAGGAAGAGATTAGAGGTGGGGAGAAGGAAGGGGAGGAGAAAATTAGAGGGAATGAGTTCTGTAGTGAACCACTTAGGAAGAAAACACTGGGCAGGCTTCAGTGGTGTCTTAAATAGAGCACAAATGGAAATGAACAGTTTGCTTTTGTCAAGCATATTATCATATTTTTTTCCAAAATAAGTTTTTTCTTACCTGATTTGATTCTAGTCCAATATTCTTTCAAACCTCTTGATTATTAAAGCTTAGAAAGGTTCTAAGATCTCCTGACAGATGTGGGTATTTCAAAATAATTAGCTTAAATTAAAATTAGCATAATATTTCTTATTACAGGCACGTGCACACTTGGCTCTTAGAATTCATAGCTTTAAAGTTATACTCCGGCTTAAAGCAAGCAAATGAGCTGGGGGAATGACTTAATGCGCTAAGTTCTTATTGTGCATGCATGAGGACCTGAGATTAGATCCCTAGCTCTCACACAAAAAACTGATGTGGTTATGGATGACTGTAATCCCAGCACTAGGACTTGCTGGCCAGACAGGCTAGCCCAGCAGTAAGCTCCAAGTTCAGTGAAACTGTCTCAAAAAGTAAGGTGAAGAATGATCAAGGAAGACACTTGATGTTAATCTCTACTCTCCACATGTGCACACAAGCGTGCATGCACACGTGCGCATGCACATATACACAGAGACATACTTTTTCAAACGAAACCTTGAGTAGTAGATTTTCATAGTGAATTTCTGAGATAATAAGAATCTATATTTTATACAAGGATTGTATGTACAATTTAAGCATTATCTTTGCCTCTGAATAATATTTGGTTTCTCCAACCTAGCAGTATAACAGAAGTTTCTAACTGAAAAATACCCTTATAATACTTTTGCTACCATTAGGAACGTGTCACAAAGTACTTGCTTTGGAGTTCCTTTATATTGTTAAGTAAACAGCAGTGTGTATATGTGTTAAATAAATGGCTGTGTATGTATGTGTGGTATTGGCTGACTTAATGTGGGTATCTTTTGAACTAGTTATTAATGAGAGCCATTATTTTGTAGGTTAAAGTGTATTTAAAGAAGGAGTTTGAAAAGCATGGTGCAGTGGTCAATGAAAGTCATCATGATGTCTTGGTGGAGGATATTTTTGATAAAGAAGATGAAGACAAAGATGGATTTATATCTGCCAGAGAATTTACATATGTGCATGACGAGCTATAGAGATGCATCTGCCTGTGTTATAAAGCATCCATCTGTAAAGAGAAGGCATCATCTGTAAAGAAAGTTTCAGTTTTTAACAATATTCTTGCTTTGTTTTTATTTTTAATAGTATTTTTCTATTATTTAAATAACCCCTTAGAGTTTGTAAGTACCCATTTCTTTCTGGTAAGTTATTAGGAAGAAATGATTAATCTTTGAAAAGAAGACTTCTGGATCATGTTCATATAGAAAGGCTTGTTTTGCTTACTTACTGATAACATATTGCAACTGGAAACATGCCATAACATAAGACCAGGCTGTAGAACAAATCAACACCCTGTATTTCTGCTTCCTGCTGTTTTCTTGAAGCTAAACACTAATGTATTTGAAAAGCTCTTACAATAGCCCAGGGCTTGCTGTTTTCCTGTTATAACAAAGTGATTTTTCTTTAACTGCCTTGAGGGTAGGAGGAATATGGTGGGCCTTATTCCTTAACAGTTATGGCCTTAGCATGGAGATGTGCAATGTTGGGATGGATAACAAAGTGAATAGGTACACTTTGAAATATTCTGCAAAGTTCCCTTCCTAGTGACTAATGGCCTGTTAAGATAAATTGGACATCATCTATATGTTTGTGTCATTGTAATCAAACATATCAAAATATGGCAGGCATGGGTAGAGAGTTGTGTTTATATTAAGTGTTTACTTTTAAGGCTGGTGTGTTAACCTCCTGATTCTTTAATTAATAGTTTACAACTGGTATATTACTCTACAATAACATTGTATCATAAATTAGTAAGCCAACCAGACTTTTCCCATTTCTACCTCATCAAAGACCACTACCAAATAGATGCTTATACCGGTTTAAAAAATTATTTTATTATTCTATCTCAAATTGACTTTTAAAAAGATTAGTGATTTTTAAAAATTAATTTTAATTGAATTGACTTTCACCTTAAATATTTTTTAAAATCTCCCAAATTTCCTATTAGGAAATTTGAACTATTTGAACTATTAGGAATAGTTCTTTATAGTTTTCAAAACAGTATCGAGTATTCTATTGTCTGATTCTCATTGCTCTGAAATCTATGAAAAGAAGCTGCTGGATCTTACTGTATGTACTGTTTTATAGATAAGAAAATTGCTATTCAGAGATGGATGGATGTGCCCAAGGTCAGTGGCTAACCTGTAGAATCAGCTTTCAATCCCCAAGGTCAGAGTTGTCTGCTTCTCTGCTAATGAGAAAGCAGCAGGTTTGCTTGTATCTGTTGAGCCCAGTTTCCTGTTGCATTTTACCCTCTAAGGAATGTTCTTGGCTGTTCCTGGCAGATTACAGTTTTCCTGGGATTCAGGAATGGCCCTGTTTCCATAAAATAATTTTCACATTCACTCTGAATTGTCTCAGTCACCCTCTCAGTGATCAGTGAGAGGGTCCAGGTGTGTGTCTTAGCTCCTGTTGCCTCCATGTTTGTTTGTAGGACTTGGATTATTTACACTGATTATGTATTGACATTTCACTCACTAAAATATGGTGTTATTGGGAAGAATATACTTTGAGACTTTTGGTGACGATATCAGTTATAGCCTTAAAGGATTGTTTTATTAATTTTTAATTATGTGTATATGTGTGTATAGAGGGGTATGTGCACATGGGTACAGGTGCCCATAGAATCCAGAAGGATCCCCCTGGAGCTGGAGTTGAGGCAGTTGAGCTGCCCATTGTGGGTGCTGGAAATTGAACTCAGATCATCTGCAAAAGCAGTACGTACTCTTAACTGCTAAAGCATCTCTCTAACCCAGTTATAACCTTAAAATGATGATACCACTGACATTTTTCTGAACCTGGAGAGGTTGTGAGAAGGCCTTACAGTGTGTTGTAGAAGGAAGGGCAGTGGTGTGTCTTGAAGAGGTGCTTTGTACAGAAGTTGCTGGTGCCATTTATGGTAGAGCAAGAAAGGAAAATAGCATATTTCTTTACCTTGTATGACTTTGTATCAATTCTTAGCTAAACATTTGGATACAAGTGTGAAATAAAAACATACTCATAGATTATGAATGTTTAAGTTATATGTCTTTTTGTTTAGCTATACCTTTGTACCCTCCAATTAGAGACAATATCAAACATAAACTGTGACTTCACATGTATGTAATTTGACTCATAACTGTTCCATGTGCCCTATTTAAATTTCTATGTGTACTGTGATACTCTTTTTTAAAATAAAGTTTATTTGGGAAATAATTAGTTTTATGAAAAAAATGTTGGTATGTATATATGTGTGTGGTGTTGGTGTGTGTGCATGTTCGTGTGTGAGGTCACACATGTATGTGCTGTCTCTACCTCCAGTGCCATGTGATTATAGGAAGCTGTCCTCCCCATCAGCTTTTGTCTCCTGTCTTCTGGGGATCTGAACTTTGGTCCTTACACTTTCCAGGGAAGTGCTTTGCCCTGTCTTTTCCTCAGCTCAGATTTTGTGGGTGGAAAAATTGTAAAGCAACTTTGCAGCTTTCCTCCTTCCTTCCCTCTCGCCCGCCCTTCCTTTTCTTTCCTCCCCTCCCTTCCCTTCCTTCCTTCCTTCCTTCCTTCCTTCCTTCCCTCCCTCCCTCCCTCCCTCCCTCCCTCCCTCCTTTCTTTCTTTCTTTCTTTCTTTCTTTCTTTCTTTCTTTCTTTCTTTCTTTCTTTCTTTCTTTCTTTCTTTCTTGGCATGCTAAGCCACTGTCCAATATCCACAGTGTCTTTCTATTTTTATTCTGGGCTTTATGTTTAGGTGACAAAGATAGACAGTAGTGGGAGGAGATGGGTACAGTAACAACCCTCTCTGAGTATCTGCTCTGTTGAGGTTTGTCTGGAAAGCCATTGCTTCAAATTAACATTAAACCTTGAGCACTGAGGGCAGGAGTGAGTAGTGAATTTCACAAAGGGCCTAGGGGTAGGGAGGAGAAGGTGGGTGTTACCATTGTTGTTTTGATTTGCCATTTTTCTGTATATAGCGGGTGAGCATGATACCTTATGTGATTACAAAAAAATGCTGAACTGGCATAAAATAACAAGAATGATTTCTGGCTCAAATGAAGCAATTAGCCATTTGGGTCTTTGCTTATGGGAAATGGATTTGTAGTTGTTCGTGAAATAGGCTATTGCTTATATCCACAATGCTGTTTGTGCTCCCTCCCTATTGAACTGAGCATGTGGAATGATTTCTCAGTGTTTGGAAATTACAAGGTAAGGGATTTATTTGATGACATGTTAGGGGGGAAATCCCCCCCATTTTGTTATGAAAAAAAGCAAATAAGCACTGTCATGATAACCCTGGGAGGAGCTGGGAAGGCAACTCCAGGAGATACAGAACACGTGAAAGATGCAGTTTTGTTTTGAGTTTTGCTTTTTACTCAGTTTAGCTTGACCTGAAATCGAAGGTATCAACCATGATTATAAATTCATATGACTACCTGAAAATATAGTATAATACCTTACTCTTCATAGCATTCCTATGAGTAGACTTCTGTATTCTGTTTAGTACAGTAAAACCCACAACTCTGGGACTGGAGATGGCTTAGCAGTTTTGAGCTCTGGCTGCTCTTGCAGAGGACCCAGGTTTGGGTCCCAGGACCTGCATGGCAACTAGCAACGATCTGTAACTCCAGTTCCAGGGGATCTGACTCCCTCTTCTGGCCTCCACAGGCATTGCACACATGGGTGTGCTTATGTACATGCATGCAAAACTTTCACACTCATAAAAATAGATAATAGAAAACCTCCACAATCCTTACATATATAAGAATGTAGATTAATATGCTATTAGAGTTGATTTGAAGGAATATTTTTATTTTGTTTTTCTGGATTTTTATGTTTATTTTTTGTTTTTAGAGACAGTGTCTCACTATGTAGCCCTGGTAGGCCTAAAACTTGCTATGTAGACCAGGCTGGCCTATGACCTCACAAAGATCTTCCTGCCTTTGTCTCCCAAGTACTGGGACTAAAGGTGTGTGCCACTACACCCAGCCTTGAAAGGACGCTCTTTATTCTTTGTCTTGGTAGTAGAGGGGTAGAGGAGTGGAGTGGCAGACGGATGGAGATGTAGCCCAACAGCAGAGGCCTTGCCCAGGTCGTACAGATTCTGGTTCAATCTCTAGAAACACAAAGTTTTAGAACACTATTTTGCTATCTTTGCACTTTGCTTCTGCTACTTGCAGTTCTTGCTTCAGGACAACTGCAGAAAGGCCTGCACGAATGGTGGCTTCTGAGCTCGGTCCTCAGTTCAGTGAGAGGCAACCAGGGTTCCTAAAGGTGTCAGGAATGTAGCAGTGTTCCTTTTCTTCAGAGGACGCCAGTCATACGTGGTATGTTAAAAGTGAGAGCTGGTTATTCCTCTCCCAAGAATTCAGATTAATTCTTGGAAACAGATTTGTATTTAAACCCTTTGCCTGATGATCCCAATGGAGAAAATCTACAAGCTCTAACTTGAGACTGCACTTAATTGAGATCCCTGTCCTGCAATGAAGTCGCCTATATTTTTCTCTCATAAATATTTGTTCTCACCTTCAGAAAGCAATGTGCAGCTAACTATTCCTGAGAATAAACAGATGCCAAAAGCCGTGTGGAGATACTACTTTCCTGGGGTTAGAAATTGATTCTAAAATTTTATAGTGAAAATTAGAAGGCCAGGGGCTGGAGAGATGGCTTAGTAGCTAAGAGTACTTACTGTTCTTGTAGAGGATCTGGGTTTGGTTCTCAGCACTCATGTGGCAGTTTGCAACTGTCTATCCCCAGTTCCAGGGGATACAATGCCCTCCTCTGGCCTCTTTGGGTACCAGCATGCATGTGATGCACCTACATACATGCAGGCAAACACTCATACACATAAATAATTGGCAGACATAAGAGGGCGTCTTTCCTACTAGGAGAGACATGAATGCTGGGCTTTCCCAAAACTGTTATTCTCAAAATTATCCATGAGCCACTCCTCTAGAAGAACATCTAATCAGGTTTACAGAAAAATAAACTATTGAACTATTTTCTTAAAAATGTGTGCATGTGTGCATGCACAAGAGAGAGAGAGAGAGAGAGAGAGAGAGAGAGAGAGGGAGAGAGTAACATGATGCTAAAAACTTTAGGGCTTGGAGCATTTTGGACTTGGACTCTTCAGGTTAGCGATGCTCAACTGGTAAAGTCTATGCAAATATTTTTCTCTAACCTGTGAAATCTGAAATACTTCGGACCCAGAACATTTCAGTAAGGGATTCCCAGCCTGCAGTGTGCATTGCATGTCACTTCATACCAAAGATAGTAACTGCAGTTCTCTTTAGTGCACAATTCCCTCTATCTGGAAATTTGTCTTTATTATGAAGTTAAAATTCCTTGTGTTCATTTGACATCTATCTTTCTGTACTTAGCCTGTATTTCTGTGTTTCAGTCATAAATTTGCTAGTATTAGTTCTTTTAGCATCAATTATAACCTTTTTCTTTATAGCTTGAGCTATACTGAAGGAATTAGTGACTCATTTTGTTACTCAGATTATTGTTAAGGAAAGGGTTAAAACTACAGTCTGAAGAGTCTGAGAGATCTGGAACATGTAGCACATTGTCCATGGGATATTTGGTTTACCAGTTCTTTGTGTTCCTGACCTGCTGATAAAACTTCTGGTATAAAATGGATGCCTTTAGTGAGTTTGAATCAGCCAGTAATCCATAAAGCCAGTCATAAGTGCCTGTGAGCAAGGCTAACATCAGTTTTGTTGTATGATCTAAAGAGAATGGCACGAGGCCTTTGCTGAGGCATGCTAAGTCTTGCAGAAGAACCAGGTTCAGTTCCCAGCACCCACATAATAGCTAACAACCACCCATAACTCCAGTACCAGGGAATCTAATAACATCTTCTAGCCTTTACAGGCATCATGTGCTTCTGAAATACTTACATAGATGCACACAAAACACTCATACACATAAAATTTAATAAATAAATACCTCCTTCTAGGTGGGCATTGGCCCACTTCTTCTCTTGGCACCCCAGACCTCCGGACTACCCTCTTGGCCCAGACTCTCTACTGTTTCCTGATCCTTTGCACCCAGACTGACCCAATTCTTCAGTCTAGTCCCCTGGAGCCCTCAAAGCCAGTCCTCTTCCCCCACCTTGCCTTTGCACACCTGGGACCAGCCTTCATCCCTGGCTGTCCCACCTCCAACCTGCCTGAGATTCCTGAGGCCAGCTTCATTCCCTGGTATGTTTGACCCCACCCACTGTGCCTTGACTTCCACAACCTGATTAAACCTCCCAGCTCCCACATCCTGTTTCTCCTTCTAATGTGGGTGCTGACCCACTTCTTCTCTCGGCACCCCAGACCTCTGGACTGCCCACTTGGCCCAGGTTCTCCAGGGCTTCCTGATTCTTTGCACTCAGAACAGCCCAATTCTTCAGTCTAATTCCCTAGAACCCTCACAGCCTGCCCCCACCCCCAACTTACCTTTGCATACCTGAGACCAGCTTTCATCCCTGGGTGTCCCCACTCCCAACCTGCTTGGGATTCCTGAGACCAGCCTCCTTCCCTGACTGCCTGAGAGTCCTGAATCCTACCTCTACCTAGAAAACCTCCCAAATTGTACTCTGCCTGCTGACTATAGGGATCCAGACCTTAGGATGAAGCCTGAGAGCATCTGTTCCTCCCACAACTAGAGCCTCGGTGGGAACTCCTGAACAGCAGGACTAAAGCCATCTGGCCCCTCTAATATAAAATCAAAAGGGAGAACCTGAAGCCTAAACCGAGCAGTTTCTCACACGCAACAAGTAAACAACAAAGGCACATAAAATGTACAAACAAAAACAGACCTAAACTCAACAAACGAAGGCTTGATTCTCACACAAGAATCAGAAACTACTAAAGAAATCCACAGGCCAAAATCACAGCAAAAAAATAATAACATGAAAAACCCAAATAATATGTCCTCATGAAGTATCAACAGTCTTGTAGAGGGGTACAGTGAGAACCCCCTACACGTAACACAGGACATAGAATTCAAAAGAAGAATTACGATAAAAGAATTCAATGAATTTAAAAAATACAAAAACAAGGATATCAAAGAATAGAAAGAAGACAGGGATAAACTTCTAAGTGAATTAAGAAAAGAGTTAGAAATATTGAAGAATACTCAGGCTGAAATAAAAAATGAAGTGAATAAGCCAATTAGAAATGACAAGAGAAAGCCTCACCAATAGACTGAATGAAATGGAAAACAGAATACCAAGACTG